GATAAAGCCAGGCATGGTGCCCCACGTCTTTAGTCCCAGCACTTGAGAAGCAGAGGCAGGTGGATCTCTGTGAGTTCAAGGCCAGACTGGTCTACATAAAATCAGTATTTAAAACACACAAAAAAAATTTCAAAGTTTAGAATTACAAAAGGAAAAAGTGAGATGTATGTTCTATGCACAGACATACAGGACAGATGAAAGGGGTCCTAAGAGAAAGGAGGCCCGAAGGAAGCCTGGGCAATAATTTAGGTGAAGCTAGACACCAAGGCTTGTCATCCTAGCACTTAGAAGGCTAAGGTAGGTGGGTCACAAGTTTGAAGCCAATCTGAGCTATACAGTGAGACCCTGTCTCAGAAAAAAATTAAGCTAATTAAAAATAATTTAAAAGTATTTAAGTGAGTCAAGAAAGACCTGAACTCAGGTACTACTGGTAGAGACAGAATAAGGGACAAACAAATTTTTTGCTAAGTTTAAATGTTCACTTTTGGGGCTGGAGCTCTAACTGTTGTAGACTATGTGCTTGGCAGAATAAAACTCTGGGTTTGAATCTCAGGACCAAAATAGATACATAAATAAGTAATAAGTAAATACCTTGCCTCCCACTGGCTGTGTCTCTATGAACGTTACCTTATGTTCTGAGGTTTCATTTGTTCATCTGAAAAATGAAAATATAACTTCTGGACTATTTGAGATTAAATGAAATTATGTCAAAACTGCACTGAAACCTGGCTCCAGTATTCCCTCAAAAAGTGGGCTGGAGATAGGGGCTGGAGAGATGGCTTAGCGGTTAAGAACACTGGCTGATCTTGCAGAAGACCCAGGATCGAATCCTAGCACCCATATGGCAGCTAACAACTGTCCGTAACTCCAGTCCCAGGGGATCCAACAGCCTCTTCTGACCTCCGCAGGCATTGCACAACATGGGTGCAGTTACCTACATGCAGGTAATACATGCATACATGTAAAATAGAAAAAAAAAAAAAAAAAAAAAAGTGGGCTGGAGAGCTGGCCCAGCAGTTAAGAGCACTGGCTGCTCTTATAGAGGACCTGGGTTCAGTTCCCAGCAACCACATGGCAGCTAACAACCATATGTAACTCCAGTTCCAGAGATCCAACACCCTCTTCTGGCTTCCATGTGTTTGCACATATGTGGGACATTTACATATATGTAGGCAAAACACTCATAGACATAAAATAAAAATTTGTCTCTCTTGGTAGATTACAAGCTCCTGGAAGGCGGAGCCTATTTCCTCTTACTACTGTACCTTCTTAGCACACAGCAAATAAAACACATTCGATATGGAGGAATAAAGGGTCAGTTAGCCCCGTACCGGGAGAAAATCTTGTTTGTTTAGGCAAAAGCTGACCCTGGCCCTGAGATAAGCTTCCTCAAGACAGAAATGGTCTGATCACAAGTGAAAGTTCACAGTAGCATCCATCAACACTATCCTGGAGAAACACCTGGGAGGGCAAACGTAGCCTGCAGAGTGAGGGTGAGAAGGAGCATTAGCTAGATGTCCTTTGTCCTGGAGAAGGAGCCAGTGTGTGACTGACTTCTACCATTGGTCTTCGGAGGGTGACAGAGGAGGAAATGATGCTTTTAAGAAGCAGTGCGGCTCTGTAGCTTTGTGTGCAACCCTGTCGGCTGCACGGCTGCTGCACGGCTGTCAATGCTCCTGAGTGCAGACAGGCACGGCCAGGGTTTCATCTCTTCGTGACACCCCATCCAGGTTTCCCTAAGCCCTGGATCAACTGAGATGGTCCCTGTGCTAGGTGAAGGGCTTAGGATCTCAGACTCCATCCATCATCTGGTCACAAGCTCTGTCTCTTCAGGCTCCTACTTTAAAGGTAGGCCTATCACTATCTGGGGAAATGCAGGCTTTCTTAATACTCCACTGCCTTCACTAAGAGCAGTGATTCCATAGGAGGGGTGAGAGCTTGAAATAATTCACACCAAGATGCCTTTGCTAAGGAAGATCACTAAAGTGGCATTTTGACAGAGGTGCTTATGGGGGGCTGGGAAGCACTAGAAAAAATGCAGAGCTAGTCCAATCATCTTCTCTTTCATTACCTCAGCTCCAAGCAAACAATGTCAGTCTGATTCAGAATGAATCCGAACCACATGTAAATACCCTACCCAAGGCAATCTCATTAATGTATCCAATTTAAAAATTACATATATTTTTATTTATTTGTTTATCACACTCAGCTCTAAAGCAGAATGAGCTAAGGTCCATCTTTCTCACAGAGAAGAATAGCTCCAACTATCATCAGTGTCACTGTTGTCACACAGCTTGCAAAACTCCCAATACTCAAGACTGCTGAAGTAATTTGTACTCTGAAGTTTAGACCTGGGGGCTTGCAGCACAATTAAATGTGTACCAGGGTAGACAAATCAGACAGAATGTCTCTGAATTCATATCTACTTTACTTCTTTTGGGGAAAAATAGGGATGGGGTGTTGGGTAAAGACTGTTGGCACATCGAGCCTTCCACAAAGTCAGGCTACACTGAACAGCTCCTGTAATTACAGGAACATTCCTCAACCCAAGACATTGCTTGTGAACCTCCTACTTTACACAGAGAATTCTGCTCTGTCATCCGTCTGCAGTTTTTGCTGCAGCCCTTCCTGCCACCCTTCCCATAGATCTCTTTTGGGGGGGCTGACGGATGACCTAGAGGGTGGTGATAGATGGAGAAAGGGTAGGGGAAGAAGCTGTTGTCAAAAAGAGTCTTTCTTAGGGAGATGGGGATGGGATACATGTTTGCATCACCTAGGGAAGCAGATGGGGAGACTAGGAAAGCAGAGAAAGAACTAAATAAAGAGCACCAACGACCCCTGAGGGCACCGCTCAGGCTCTCCCAGGCACTCACTCAGGCTGCCCAGCTGTCGGATGACATTTGCCAGGGTGATGTTGGTCCTGCATTCCAGCTCGCTTGTATCGCTAGGCAACGTCTGACGGCACAGGTGCCTTGGCTCGATGTTCCTGGTTACTAACGGCATGGTGGACCTGCTTCAGGCAATGTTCTCAATGATGGAAAACAACCTAAAAAAGAAGAAACAGGAAAATATTACTCAACCACAAATTCCAGGTCCTGAGAGTCTTCTTTTTCTTTTCTTTTTTGGTATTGCTCTGATTTGAAACAGTTTTTGAAACAATCTTTACCCTATCTTTTCTTCCTTCCTACCTTCTTGTTTAAGCATCTCTCTCACCTTCTTTTCAAGGTTTGCTATCAGAAGAGTTGCTGCAAGTTTAGAGATTCCGAACTGGTGATACAGGCAGCACAAAAACCTTAAACTACTGCTCTGACCAGTAAGTCTCCTAGGTAAGGAGGCATGATCAGAAATCAGCAAGTACTAGACCGTACAGAGTCTATCCTTGGATATCTTGGATATTCAGTATCCATAACCAAAACAAGTCAGATTCAAGGCTACTGATTACAAGAATTAAAAAAAAAAAAAAAAAAAAAAGGGAGGGGGGAGGACGCGACCTCCCTGGCTGGAGATGTAGTTCAGTTGGCAGAGGACTTACTTGTCCTAGCATTCATGAGACCCTAGGTTTGACACCCAACCCCAAGCGAGGCATAAACTGGACATGGTGGTGCACATCTGCAATTCAAGCATTCAGGAGGTAGAAGCAGGAGGATCAGAAGTTCAAGGCCAGGATGAATCACACAAGACCCTATCTCAAGGGAGGAATGGAAGAGAGGGAGGGAGGGAGAGAAGGAAGGAAGGAAGGAAGGAAGGAAGGAAGGAAGGAAGGAAGAAATTAAGCCTTCATCTGATAATATCCACAATGAAATCAAACTGCCACCAGTGGTTCCATTAACATGCCTCAGCATACAACTTCTCTAGGTCTTCCTGGAGGTATGACTATTGATGTGCAACTAAATACAGCAGCCAGTATCTGTTAACACTACAGAAGTTTAGTCTCTAAATTGAAAGAATGAAAAGTCAAGGAAAAATTTACTTGCTCAATATGTCAAGCATGATGCTGAGCCAGCTGTGCTTTAAGATTCCCTGATCCTGCCGGGCGTGGTGGAGCACCCCTTTAATCCCAGCACTCAGGAGGCAGAGGCAGGGGGATCTTTGTAAGTTCAAGGCCAACCTGGTTTCCATAACGAATTCAGGGCTACAGGAAGACCCTGTCTCAAAAGACATTAAAAAAAAAAAAATTCCCTGATGCTACTAGGCTGCCCAGCATTCCGTTCTCTCTTCTACTGAATTCTATGCACCTGAGCCAAAGACCTTTAGCGACAGCAGGAAGTGTTTGGAGCAGATCCAGAAAGCTTCCCATTACTATTTCTTACGCTGGAGGCCGAGCCTCTTTACCCAGGAAATCCCCCAGCACTTTAGGCTCATGTGGTGCTATTGTTTTAGATTTACGATTACCAAACTCCTATTTTACCAGTTTAGGAGAAGGTTTTTTTGTTTGTTTGTTGGGGTTTTTTTTTTTTTTTTTTTTTTTTTTTTTTTTTTGGTCTTTTTGAGACAGGGTCTCCCCTGTAGCTCCTGCTGTCCTGGAACTCACTATGTAGACCAGGCTGGCCTTGAACTCACAGAGATCTGCCTGCCTCTGCCTCCCAAATGCTGGGATTAAAGGCGTGCACCACCACGCCCGGCCAGGAGAAGGTTTTAATCTCAACAAAATGGATATGACTACAGTCAAGAGACACTGGGCAGGTCCAATTTTTATATCTTAGGAAACCATAAAGAAATCTAAAATGGCTTAATGGTTTTAGCGCTGGGGAAGATGGCAAACGCATAGCAAATAAAAAGGCACAGAGGTAACTACAAACCCACAGCATAAAGTTCTCTTAAGAGAAAGAAAAAAGAAAATCAGGTTTACTTACATCAAATCTTAAAACACCAGCTCATCACCAAAAAAGCTGCTTGTGAATGCAAAATGCTTACACCAAGCTAACCGTTACTGATATTAAAATCCAACCAACATTTCTTGAACAAAAGAAAGGAGAAAAAAAAAAAATCAACAAACAAAACCCCAGTCGTTTGGGCTCAAAGAGGGAGTCGAACCCTTTGGAACAGGCTGCTCCTTGTTATGGACATTCTGATCAGCTACAAGTAAAAATAAAACAGGAAGCCAGAAGCTTGGGGAACAAGATTTCCTGTCACCAACAGTAACAGCCTAAGAACCAAAAGAATCAGCTGTTTGCTTACAACTTGAAGCCTCCCTTTAAGAGTCACCGTGGCAGCTTTGCCTATCTTTGGGGTGCAGAGGTGTTTCCTGAATGCTTGTCCACCATCTTAGGAAATGACTTCCATTCCACTTCTCTGCTAAGATCCTCCTTTGACTCAACAGGTTTTTAATCCAAACTCCACACTTTCTAGCTTAACTCTTCCCCTCTTTTACTTAATGCAAAGGGTGTCAGGCACTAAGATGCAAACTTAAATTCAGTAACACATAATTATTAATGAATCTAGAACAATGCAAAGAATAATCTAGAACAGGAAAGGAGACAGAAGGTTAAACATAGAAGAGTGCTGAGACAATGAGATGGCTCAGTGGTTAAGAACACTGACTGCTCTTGCAGAAGACCTGGGTTCGAATTCCAGCACCCACATGGCAGCTAACAACTGTCTATAACCTAGTTCCAGGTGATCTGACAGCCTCTTCTGTCCTCCGCAGGCACTGCACAACACGGGTGCACTTACCTACATGCAGACAATACACACATACACATAGAATAAAAATAATAAAATATTTTTAAAAAATAAATAAGAGGGAACATGAGAAAAACAAGAATGTCAGAAAAATATATCTTTTCCTTTTTTTTTCTGTCTTTTTGAGATAGGGTTTCCCTATAGCCCCAACTGGCCTGGAACTCACTATGTAGATCAGGCTGTCCTCAAACTCACAAAGATCCACCTGCCTGCCACTGCTGGGACTAAAGGTGTTCACCACCAGCTGGTGTCTTTTAAAAAGACATGATGTCTTTCCCTTTCCTCTAAGACCAAACTTTCTCCTCTG